CTTGGGGGAAAAAAAACATACACAACAGGCCAGAAATAACCAAAACTTTATCCGCACATTGCATGTGCCACGCAAATGCAAATTTCATATACCTATATAGCACTTGTAATACATTTTCTCTAGGTCCTTTTTTACCGATTTAAATTTTATAATATTAAATACAACGAAAGTGTGCCACACACAGAGATATTGAAGCATCATGCAGGTTAAAGGGATCGCAGCATTATCGCCCCAAGAGTTATGGCGTCAAAAAGCAATCAATTTTTAATTTTCGTTTAATTAAAAATGCAGCCTGGGTGCAATTAAAATTATCCCCTGCATTAAACATACGGCGTAGCCAAGAGCAACGACAGCTCGGAATGGGATGGAAGCGGCCATCGCGAAAGTTAGTTGGCGCTTAAATGACAGTAACCAAAATCTGGTTTTATTGCAATCAATCATGGCCGGGTCGCTGGGCCGCTGGATCGCTGTTGCTGCCGCTGCTGCTCGCTCAGCATCATCGGTAATTGGAAATAGGTGGCATCGTCATCGTGATTGCGTGGTCGTTCTGGTCCTGCCCGCAGCAACATAGACACGGACCTGACACGCGCTACACATGCGGCAAGAGAAATAATGGGAAAATCAAAACAATAGAAAATCGAACGAAATTTAAAAGGAATTAAAGTGGGTAGAAGTCTGGGAATATGGTTGCTGCGAATCTATTTATATGTAAAGAAAACAAAAAAATATTGATTGGTATTCATAATTATTTCATAACTTTGATACTATTATCTTGATCCCTGTTGTTGATACACAAGCAGAGCAAATGTTGCAACTGCGTTGTGGTTGCGACCCCTAAAAGTACGCTGCGGACATCGAATGCTCGTTTCAATGGGTTTATTAGCATGCCTCGGTGGCGCATGAGTGATATTTCAATAATGAGCATTCAATAAATTGACAATAATTATCGCCGGACATCATATAACCAATTTGTGTCAGTTCCAAACAAACGACAATTGCCGCATAGCAAGCACAGTAAGCATTGTTCTGAGATAATAGTAAATGTGTTCAGTCTATAAGACATATTAGACACATATTCTCTTATGCATTGTTATAAATTAATGGTATTTAAAATACAAGATCTGAGCTAAATAAATAATAGCATTTCAATTGTTTCAATAATACAATACAAACATAAGGTAAACATTTTCTTTCAAAGGGTCTACATTGTATTATATAAACATTGTATTCACTGTACTTGCTTGTAAAACTAAAGAGTATTTAAACCTGATTACGCTATCCAGATTGAATGACAAACATCGTTCAACTGATAGATTAAGCCCCCCGATGACAGGTCGTTGTATTTGCGCTTAGCCAAGAGATCAAAGGTGTCGGACCCAGCCTTTGGCCCAAATCACTTGCCATTAATTCAGTCAGCGGGCAGTGAAAAATTTGATTACACAAAGTTGGGGGCACGTCTGCCGGCTAGAAATTACACGAACATGAAATTTAATCATTCTAATTTGCGGAATTTATGAAGTTTATTGCTCCAGCTTAATAGACACAAACGCTAACAAATTTTTTGCGGGGGGCCAAATGGTGGCATTGTTTTAAGTTGGCTCAGGCTAAAGTGAAGCCATCCCATTACGCGACACATAATGTGGCATAAGGCAGAAATTTTAATACACTCTCAAAAGAGAATATTTAAATTGCAAAATGACAAAATGAATTAATATATATAATAATATATATAATATGTATTTTATTATTAAAAAATGATTAATTACTACGGTAGTTCACATAAGGCTAATGCCAATCATAAAATGTAATACTCTTAGGATTACGGCCTTAATACAGGGCATTTTTAATTCGCATATCAATATGCTGTATATATTTATATATTTTTTTTTTGTGCTGGAATCCCCACCAACATTATTTCCTCTCAGTCGCATTTCATGACGTTTTCCGCAGTAGCGGTTTTTCCTCTTTGCTTTTGCTTTAGCTTTTGTTTCCCAGCCGCGCGTTATGGAGCACATGGAGCTTTTGGGCTTTGGTCCCAGCTACGTGCGGAAATGTGTCTAAATTGTGTGTAAAAATTTCACCATCTCGTTGTTATTACATTTTTTTTGCTCCCTCTTGGCCGTCAGTTGTTGGGGTGACACCATATGGCCCCGGCAGATAAGGCTAAGTAATTGATGGACACAGCCGACGGACGGAGCGACTAGCCTTTGTAAGTGGTTCACTTAGGAGGAGCAATAGAATATTGAAAATTAATTTTATTTGATGGCGTACATTTACCAGAAGTGAAAGTTAAAGATGCTCTTATATTTTAACAAAATTAGCAAGGCGTACCAAGTTTTATGCTCTCCTTTGCAGGAGTCAAAAGAATTATGGGCGATTTTACAAGGATGGTTTACAAAATGTATCGAATTTAACGAGAATAGTAAACATATCATTATTATTTTAAAAAAATTAAGTTAAACTTTAGATAGATTATAGAATTATTTTACCATCTTCTTTTAAGATACTATTTCGATCAAGTCTCCTTATTTAAGATAGCTTTAAATGCTAAACTAAACTTCCCCTTAGTTTAAGGTTACTTTAAAAATTCAACAAAGCAATTCCCCTTAATTGCCTTAAGATAAGATGGTTACAATCTAGTCTATAACTTTTAAACGGTTCCAAACCAAAGCCAATTATGTTCTACAGCTTCCATGGACCGCAATATCGCTACCCCCACCAAACCTCACATAACATTTTCAATTACCATTTCGGGTGGATTCGGCCAAGACCACGCCCTTGGTGCTTGGGCCAAGTTTAACTACGAAATTGAGACATGTTGTTTGAGTACATTTTGTGGTTTTGACTCTAGAGCAATGGCTGCAGTGGAAGCAAGGTCTGTGGGATTTTCCGTGTTTTGTGTATGCAATTTTAAATGCACATCGCAGCTCAGCTTGGCTTGGGCTCTGGCTTGGCCTGTTTCGGTTTGTTTTGGTTCACCCAGCCCTATTCCCAAGACCCATGTTGCTGTAACGAGCCGCCTTTGTTTGCTAAAAACTTATCAAGGCTATGGTCAGGACGGGGAACGGGTCCTGAGCCTTGGGTAAACAACAGGCAAATGCCTGCAATGATGATCCTGCAGCTGTATCCTGCCTTCCTACCATCGTACTCAATTTTTATACAGACTGTCGATTCTCTGTTGCCGGAGATGGGGTCTGGCCAGATTTCTCTATTCCCATGGCCATTGTTCTGGCCACCAGGATGGGTGTATATGTGTGTGTGGTATGTACTTTAAAGGTCTTGGCAGTCACTTCCACATGATTGGGCAATTCACAATCTTTTTCATATGGTCACCCCGACTGTTGTCTAAGCTGATGACTCAATTAACTGCCAAACGTGCTTTTGTGAGCTGTCAGCCGGAAAGGCTTAGCACATCTAAAGATGGCCAATGGCAATTAGCCTATATGCTCGTTCTTCTGGTACGCTATGCTGACAGAGAAGATTAAAGATATAGCTGACACAAGTCAGGCGTGAGTTTTACTAGACTTAAATTAGTTATTTCACACAAGTAAATCAACAACTACTTGTATATTAAGTTTCTTAAAGGAAACCTATACAAAAACTAGTGGAACATTAACTAAAAAAGGAAATCCTGTAGATATTTAATATCTTTTACACCCAAATAGCTCAATAAATATAATTTCAAGTAGAAGAAACCCACTTTAAACTACTTAAATATTAAATCTTTAAGCCTGAAAAAAGCTGGCCGCAAATGGAACGTGCAAAATCCATGGCCAGCAAAAAGCTGTCATCGAAAGCAGAACAATAAATATGCGCTGCTCATGATTAATGATTTGCACGCACAAAAAAAAAGAAAATAACAGCAAGATTTCTTGCCAACTTGAAGGCCAAAAAAACAGGCAGCAGCAACAACGACTGGGCCAGCATTCACTTTGTTTGGCTTTGCGGGCAGCGTAGCGTGTATTAAGGGAATTAAAATGTTATTATATAAAACAAGAACAAGGGTCCTGTCCGGGGACAGTCGGAGGAGAGCGGAGTGAAGTGGAGTGAAGTGGAGTGCTAGGTAAGGTAGTGGTGGGCAGGACGCGATGGCAACGTTGTCGCCACTGATCCTGGATAACGATGTGATAATCACACCCATCGCAGCCACTCAGCCACTCGGCACTCAGTCCCAGCATATGACAGACGATGGACAGGCACCGTGTCAGGTGACTTGTACATAATTCTGGCAATTTCGCCAAAGAACTTAATTTTACGCCCCTGCATTTCTAAAATGAAAACTCCCCGCATTCTGCCGCCGCCGTCTTGACAACCAACCTTTGTCCGGCTTTAATAAGTTTGCTCAGTCTCAACCGCAAAAAGCAGTGAAGCGGGCACTCGCCTGGCTTCCTTTCAAATCCTCCCTTACATAAGGCAAACCCCAGCGTTTTTGTCTTTCATGCCGTCTTAAATTGCCTTTTTTTCATTTTGAGGGGCTTCCTTTGTTTGGCATTGTTATGCAGCAAGTGCGAATAATTTTCTGGGTCAACTCTTTAGGGTTTCTAAAACACTTTTGTTATTTTTCATAAGCAGAAACAAAATAAATGTTTGCCATGGAGTAATTGTTTTGTATTTAACATTTTTAATTAAAATGTTTTTCACTACATAAGACATAACAGAAGTGGCTTTATCTCTAGGTTTAAGTGAAGAGTAATTGTATATCGTTGACGAAAATTAAGTGGGATACTATGTTTCACATTACCATAAGTGCAACAATTAATGTTTCGTAAGAGTTTGCTCAGATTTCGATGATTATTATAAGATTCTACACATATTAAAATGATTTTAAGTAGCAGTAACTTTTCATTCTACAAATATTTTTGATTTGTTGCTTTCCTTTCCATTTAATTTTTCTTTTTATTTCATAGAACGCACGCACGTAAACATTTGGTAAGAAAACTTCAAAGTCTGTGGAAAGTTATTATAAAAAAGATATTAAGAAATTATTATCGCTAAATACTTCAGCAAATACTCACAGCCATATAGGTGGTAATAGATACCGGTGCCAGCTTGTAGGTTCTCCACATATAAGGTTTTGTGGAGCGCATCATCAAAATGAGCAGCATTTTTCTATAAGCAAGATCGCCCTCATACCAATTGTTATAAAACGCGGCTGGCATTACTTTTCCACTCTAGAAAAATAAAAAAAAATCAATAGAAATTAGTTCAAAATATAAGAAAACCTGTTTTTAAATTAAATTAAACACCCTTCCCTCTGCACTTACCGCCAGAGTTAACTGAGTGCCATTGTGACATATGGAAAATGTGTAGATCATAAATAAACCAACTCCCAATGAATACTTAATGGCTGTTACAAAACTTAACGTGGTCAAATTAAAGGCCATGGAAAATATGGCCATAGTAGAAGTGATCAAACTGATCAAAAAAGTAAAGTTAAAGATACGATTTATATTATCAGCTAATAGCAGCAATCTTTGATGATAGAAAATTAATGATTTCAGTTTTTTCTTGGCTCTGAAGTCACTGGCATCAAGGTTTTCCACCTGATTGGCTAAGTCATCAAAGTGAAGTTCCAATTGTGCGGTGAAGACATTGATCAAAAATTGATTGGCCATCATAAAGCCTATATTTTGAGCAGATGAGAATATTTGGCTTATATACGAGGCGCAGAAGCCAGGCATTGAGCCTAAAGTTTTCCAGGGATACCAGGAGACGGTCTGAATCCTGTAGCTCAGTTCCTGAGATTCCGAAAAAAATTCATAGGCCATTACCAATAGGGGAAATGCATTGTAGTAGAAGTTGGAAATAATATAGAACATGGTGAACTTCTTCGTCATAAGTTTGGTTTTTTCCAAATAGTAACTGGCTTCAGAGTTATATTTTCCGCGTTTGTCAAAGAGGTCCTGCAGTTCTGCCAGCACTTCTTCAATCTGTGGTCTATATATTAGCAGCACAAACATATTACAAGTTCCCAAGACGGTGAATCCTAGCATGCTGCCCGCATCCGATATATCCGCCACATATTTTAAAAGATCCATAGATTTTCGATCAAGGTAATAGCAATAAACACATAGAGAAATGTTAAAATAAAGTAGATTAATGCATGCCATTTTAAATATAACTTTTTGGATCAAATTTTGTTGTTGTCTCGGAGAGTTCCTGCCTTTCCATTCAAATCGCGACATCAGGGCGTAGTGACATGCGATGTCAGTGTAGCGCATAAAGTCTTGGAACTGCATTGGTCTAAATGGTACTTAATACTGCTGAGATTAAGCACCTGCCAACCAGTAAAAAATTGCCCTGAGAACGCACAGGTGTTTATAATGATTAATCACTTAAATTATAGATATCGGACACTAGCCAAGCGACAGAAAATTTCTCTATTGGAGCAAGGTTATATTACAGAAGCAATATGGCTTAAAATTAAAAAAATAATTCAAAAAATCTACTTATCAACATATACTTCTTAAGATTATTCTCCAGACTTACCGCCATAGTCAGATGTGTACCATTACGGCACATTGAAAAACTATATATAAGCATAATGAGCAAGCCAATGAAATGCATAATCCCTGAGCCGAAATCAAACATGGTCATGCAAACGGCCAAGAACCCCAAAGACAGGGCACTTGTTGACAAGCCAACGAGGAATGTAAAATCAAACATGCTATTGACACTGTCCGCCAGTTTGAACAAATGGATCTGATATATGACGAGGAATCTCAGCTGGTCCTTGGCTCCTGAGCTTCGAGCATCGATTGCCTCTAGTTGGCTGGCCAATCCGTCGAAGTGTATTTCCAACTGGGTGCCAAAGAAGCAAACCAAAAACTGGACCAGCACAATGGTGACCATAAAAATCTGGCATGAAACAGCCTGCTGGACGTATGCAGCACTAAAACCTAACACTGATCCTTTTATGCTCCAGGGATACCAGCAAACGCTCTGGACCTTGTAGCTTAACTCTCTTGACTCCATCAAGTGTTCCCATAGCAGCAGAAGAAATGGCAGTGAGTTGTAGTACACAATGGCTGTGTTATAGAAAATAATTAGGTTTCGTAAATATCGCGTATACGCCTCGTAGTACTGCTGGGTGCGGTTCTCTTTCTGTTTAGCGTATTTAAATAACTCCTCGAAATCCTTAAAAATTTCCTCTATCTGTGGCTTTTGGTAAACCAGCATCCAAAGGTTGAGGCTCCCCACAACGGTAAATCCTATCATGCTGACCACAGCGGCCCATTCCGCCAGATTATAAAGTGATTCCGTTGGAGATCCATCAATAAGATAGCCGTACATTATAATTCCGAAATTGTGATACAACAATTGCAGTGCTCCCAGTATGAGGAGAATGTCCTTGGTCAGAGACCGCTCTTCTCCAGATGAGCTCCTGCCTTTCCAATTGAATCTCGGCAATAGTGCCATTCGTCCGACCCAATCCGGGTACATCATAAAGTCTTCCAACCGCATTTGGTCTAAGATTAATACTAACTTGACAAAGTGTATTTTTGACAAATTATTGTAATTGATTTGATTATCTACTGTGAGAACGTGCACCTGCTTCAACTAGATAATAAGTTGCTATGGGAAGTCTTACATTTTAAATTCATTTGGGATAATTTGATAATAAGATGACCAATTACTGAACTAGCGTTTGTTTAACTTAAACTATGTATTATTTGAGAAATTTCTTATGTTTAAGGAAAACACTGACAATAAAAATAAACAAAATAAAAAGGTTTCTTTAAGTTTAGCAAATGATTTAAATTCTTGAATAATTAAATTCATTCTCTTAAACTTACCGCATAAGTCAGATGAGTGCCATCGCGACTCATGGTAAAATTATATATCATGAAAATTGTTAGTCCCAGCAAATGCTTGAGCGCCTCGCCCACCTCGAACATGGTCATGGAGAAGGCCAGGAAACACATTCCAATAGTCGCCGTTAATAAACTAACGCAGAACGTAAAGTTGAAGATGTGATTCACCTTGTCTGCCAATTTGAACAAATGGCTTTGGTAAGTGACAAGATATCTCAACTGATCCTTGGCCGTGGGGTGACGAGCATCAATGGCCTCCAGTTGCCTGGCCAAGCCGTCGAAGTGGATTTGCAGCTGGGTGCCGCAGAAGCTAACGAGGTACTGGCTCAGCATAAGAGAGGCCATTAGCAGCTGACACGAGAATGTCTGTAGGATGAACGCCACACTGAAGCCGAGGACTGAGCCTTGGATCTGCCAGGGATACCAAGTACTGCTCTGGATCACATAGCTCAGCTCCTGCGACTCCGTCATAAAGTGTTGCCAAAGCATCAGGGTTAGAGGTAATGAATCATAGTAGACAATTGACGAGCAGAAGACAATCACTAATCCTTTTAAAAATCGCGTATACGCCTCAAAGTACATTTTAGGTCGATACACATTCACATTGACGTGTTTAAAGAACTCCTCGAAATCTCCCAGCATTTCCTCAATCTGTGGCTTAAAGTACAGCAGCTTCCATAGGTTGAGTGTCCCCACAATTGTAAATCCGAGCATGCTTCCCACAGTGGCCAATTCCGCCACATAACGAATGGGATCCTTGGATGTGCCATCGACATGATAGGCATACATTATGCATCCGATATTGTGATACACCAAATGAAAGATTCCTAACATGAGGAGCATGCGTTTGGCCAAGGAATAATGTTCTGCCGGTGATTGTCTACCTTTCCACTCGTATCTCGGCAGTAGAGCCATTCGACAGACCCAATCCGGGTACATCATAAACTCCTCCAATCGCATCTGGTTCGGGATTATAACTGCCATGAAAAGCTAATTTTTCTGGTAAATTGGCTAATTGGTGGGATTATCCACTGTGTGAACAGACAACTGTTTCGACTACGCAAATTGGTCATTGAAGAAAATTTAAAATTTATAAGACTAAATCATTTGCTAACCAGTTGTGCAATTACTTGAATGTAATTTATCCCACCGTTAAATATGTATATTATTGTTGCAAAAATGACTTAAGGTAAGTCTATCATAGCAAACAATATACGGAATTTTGTTTAGGGTCATTAATAAATATTTCAAAGATCAGTTGTCAAGCTAATTTATAAAATACATTGCCCTAAGACTTATTAAGTTAAAGAAGTAATGGAATCTATTACCCAATTTGTATTAAATTCTCTCCAAACTTACCGCTATGGTGACCTCAGTTCCCAAGTAGCAAATGACAAAGTTGTATACCACAAAGGCTGCCAGGCCATTAATGTACTTAAAGGCGGAGGCCGGATCAAGGAGCAGCACCGCCACACTCGTCATGCAGATGGCAACCGTGGCACATATCAAGGCAGCCAAAAAGGAAAAGTCCAGAATGTGATTGACTTTATCGCCCAAATTCAGGATTTGACAATGGTATGCAATCAGCTTTCTCAAAGTCCGATTGGCGTCCGGATGACGGGAGTCCAGAGCAAGTAATTGCTCGGACAGAGAATCGTAGTGCAGCTTCAGGTTATAGGTAACTATGCAGAGTATGTGGTGTGTGGCCACGGAGAAGGCCACGCCCTCAATGGAGGAGAGAACAGTGCAGAGGAATCCTATGCCATATCCCAATGCCGAGCCATGGGTTCTCCAGGGATACCACGTATTAATCTGTAGCTTATATCGCATTTCCTTTCCATCCATGAGATGCTCGTACAGCAGTACCAGCAGAGGAGCACCATTGTAGTACGCACAGAAGGCCACATAAAATATAAACTCGTATTTCATCAAGCGGTTGGCCAATTCGAAGTAGTGCTGCCGGCGATAGTGCATTTCCCTGGGCCTTGGATATAGCTCTTCCAGCTCCGTGAGCACTTCATTGATCTCAGCACGGTAGTGGGTGAGGGCCCAGATATTACAGATTCCTATCGAGGTGAGCATAAAGGCTCCGGTAGCCTCCGATAACTCCGCCACGAAACTAGCCGTGCCCTCGGCTTTGCGACCCACCAAATGCCAGTGCACGAGTTCTCCGACATCTTGGTACACCAGAAATAAAGTTCCCAGGACATAAAGCACCTTTTTGACCTTCACGTATGAAATAATCTCAACTGGACGACCATTCCATCGAAATCGCGGCACGAAACCCATACGACACGCCATATCCGGATACTTCATATAGTCCTGCAGGTGCATCCTGTTGCAAGCTTAGATTGACTTTGAGCTGCCCCAAAATCTGCGGGCCTTTATTCGTCAGATTGTCAACCCTAAATGATTAATTTTTAATCACTTGCGTCACATGTCCTGAGAACAGGCAACTGTTACTCCGGATAATTGTGGAAAAAAAGAGAATAGTAATTTGATGCAAAGAAATATAATAATGAGAAAGATGCCTTGCTAAACATGTGTAATTATTAGAATATATATTATGTTTTTAGCAATTTTCTGTCTCCCCCGGAAGACTTATTAGTGTTGAGAAGTACATAATGATAAGTACAAAATACTAACTAAATTTAATAACTATATAACATATAATCGAATATCTCACTTACCGCAAAGTTTACCTCTCTACCCATATAACAGAAGACAAAATGGTAAAGCACAAAGGCCACTACACCAATAATTGCATTAAAGGCGGATATCAAATCCAGCAGAAGCACGGCAACACTCATCATGCAAAGATGATACCAAAAATATTAAGTTGAAAGTGCGATTGAATTGATCTCCGAGTTGGAAAATTTGGCAATGATAGACAACTAAAGATTTTAACTTCTTGTGGGCCTTGGGGTGACGGGAATCGAGACTTAGTAACTGGCTCGCCATGGCATCATAGTGCAGTTTCAGCTGGTAGGTAAAAATGGTGACTATATTCACGGCGGCTAAACTCATACCAATGCACTATGTGGAATTTGACCCGTTTTCGTGGCCAAAACTCATTTTTCGCAAGTATCCAAATTTGCGTATTTTCAATGATACCATGTTATGAATTGATCAAACTGCTATGTTACATACCCAAAATGTTAACTTAACAGTTCAATGTTAAAATAACAGCTGTTAAAGTCAGCTGTTGCAAGCGAACACCACGGGCTGTCTTATAAGTTGACTTTACGGTGCAGTTTCAAATTGGCATATCTCTGACATAAAATCATTAAATAACCTAATTCAAACTGAATATTAATCTTCAGGTTATTACTATGTGTTGATACTAATATGTTGCGTGTTGCGTTCGTATTTTTCTAAAAATTTGTACATTTAGCAAGTGGTGTCCATTTGTCACTTTTGGAAATAAAGTTGAACTTTCCAAAGGGTTTTAAAAAAAGGTTCAAATTGTATCAGCGAGTGTCCATATACATGTTGTAGGTTTGTCAATTCTGAATTCAAAATATATAGGCTCATTGTGCGTTTTTTGCGGTCTTTTGCGTAATTTGAATTATTAGGAAGCAACATCTTGGTCAGAAAAGCAGAACTGCTAGTAGTGTGGAGTAAGCAAGGGAGGTTCAATTTCTCCGGAAATATATTGTGAAACAATCAAACTCCGCAGAATATAAGGTTTTCTTAACCGTTAAAACTGATATCGACGTTAGGGAAAACGACAATACATATTTTTTTATAATAATAATGAAATTGATGACAATGATGAAGTTAATAATTAATATGTAGAATAATAAAACCAAAAATAATGATATTCTTAAATAACTTCTACATTTATTATCCGATCTGAACCAAATTTACAGGACACATTTATAGTAAGAAATTCATCCTGTGTTCCAAAATTGGGGTCTCTAATTTGAAAATTTCTTTAAATATTCGATTTTTTTTCGATTTCTGTGGGCGGAGGGGGGCGTTGACACGCCCACTTTTCTAAAATAGCTTCCTATAGTCATAACCATAATTATAAAAAAGCTGCACCGTATCCGACTGCTGAACCTTGGACCTTCCACGGGTACCACGATTTGGTCTGCGCCCTGAAACTCACGCTTTGTGTCTCCGATAGATATTTCCATAGAAGCCGGAAGATGGAAAATCCATTGTGATACACGCAGAACATCACAAAAAACATATACTGGAGCTTCATTAGAAGTAATGGCAACCTAAAGTAGTGCTGGCAGCAATAGTGCTTTTGTCTGGCGGATCTGGGATATAGGTCTTGAAGCTTCTTAAGCGTTCCCTCAATCTGAGGACGATTTTGACTGAGTGTTAAGATATTTACAAATCCCGCAACGGCCAGCATTAGGTATCCACACATCTCTGATAATTCTGCCACGAACGATTTTGTATTCTTAAATTTTTGCCCGTAGAGATACCAATACATAATCATTCCAATATTTTGGTAGCCCAGAAAAAAGGTACCGAGGTGGAGAAGAATCTCCTTGACCAACTTGTGGGTAGATCTAACTAGTGGCCGTCCAGACCATTGATATTGAGGTGCAAAAGCCATGTCGCAGGCCTTGTCAAGATACTTTATATAATCGTTGAATTGCATCCTGTTGTACACTGTGCCTTTCCTTGCCTCCTAACAGTCCTTTATACTTTTATTTTCAAAACCTAATTGGGTCATTTATAAACAGTTTTCACCAGAAGTCCTAAGAACAAGCAACTGCTTTGGCTTTATTATATACTATATTTTCAAAATCATGAAGGTTTCGCTTATCCTTTGTTACGGGAGTATAAGTATCGATTTAATGTATATATATAATATTAACTAGACCCCAGGAATATTATACATTTATTTTAAAACCCATACAAAAGTTATCGATTGTATATACCAATTATTATTAATATATCACTTACCGCCAAGGTAACTTCAGTGCCCAAGTAGCATATGATAAACTGATAAAGGACAAAGGCCACAAGGCCACTGATTGCCTTAAAGGCTGATGCCAAATCCAGCAGGAGAACGGCGACACTCGTCATGCAAATGGCAATCGTGGAGCCAAAGAGACTGCTTAAAAAATTGAAATTCAGAAGGGCATTGAATTGGTCTGCGATCTGAAGAATGCGAATATGGTAGGCAATCAGTATTCTCAGCTTCTTGCTGGATTCCGGATGTCGAGAATCAAGGTTCAGTAACTGACTGGCCAAGGCATCGTAGTGCATCTTCAACTGGAAGGCGAATAGGCATACCAAGTTCTGGGTGGCTATGCTAAAGCCCACGCCCACGCACGAAGCAAAGACTATGGTTAGGTAACCCAATCCAAATCCCAGGGCCGAACCGTGGACTCTCCAGGGAAACCAGGTGTTGGTCTGCGTCCTGAAGCTCAGCTCCTGGCCCTCTTTCTGATGTTCCCAGAGAAGCATCAAGAGAGGCGCACTATTGTAATACGTGAAGAATATCATATAGAATCTGAACTCGATTTGCATTATAAAAATTGCTGTTTTGTAGTAATGCTGACAGCGATAGTGCCTTTCTTCGGGATCGGGAAATATCGCGTGGAGCTCCTCAAGCAACGCCTCGATCTTAGTATGGTTCTTCACCAGGGCATATATATTGGAGAATCCCACAATAGTTAGCATCAGAGATCCGCACATATCTCCGATTCCGGCCACAAATGTAGCCGTGTCCTTTTCCATGCGCTCGTAAAAGTACCAATATAAAAAAACACCAATAATTTGATAGAACGAACCAATGCTACCCAATATGAGGAGGACCTTTCTGCCCAATTTGTACGAATCCTTGCCTAAAGACCGTTTAGCCCATTGATAGCGTGGTAGGCCAGCCATCTGACATGCCAAATCTAAGTACTTCATATAATCGTTAAACTGCATTCTGATTTAAATTGAGACTGACTTGGCTTTTGAGAGAGTCTGACCTTTATATGGGTATTTACTTCCGGGTCTAATTGAGCAATTATAATTTAAAAGTCCTGGGAACATGCATGTGCCTATAGATATGACCTTTCGGCCACCTGAATAAAATCTTAATAAAAGGACTACTAAAAATGGTCAGAAAAGGAGTAAGTTCTAGAAAAATAATAATTAATAACATTACAGCAACAACAAAACATTTAAATGTATGTTTAATTCCAAAAATAAATGTATAAAATCATATATTCAGTAGGTGTTCTCCCACAAGCATTTGTTTATTCATTTCGTTAAAATTTTTGTCGAGGTCGTAATGTGATTCCTTTGAGCTGGTTATCGGGCTTTTATGCGCTCGTCTATCGCTGCTGATATCGGTAGACAGACAAGTGCCGCTCGTTCTGCACTCCATTTCCGGCGGAAGTCCGCACAAGGAGACATTTTTATGTACCTACATGCTGTGCCTGCATATTCCAGCGTGTGTGTCTGTGTTTGTGTATTGTACTTGGCGCTTGTTTACTTCTTTGTTTATGGGCCTTACCCCCCGGCTCGTTTACGAGTCCATCCTATTGCCAGCTTTTATTGTTGCTTTTATTTTGCGGTCTACTTGGTTGCGCCTCATATGCTCCATGCTTTGTGCTCCCAGAGCCAGGTCCTTATTCCTTGCTCCGCTAGGTTTTCGCCCCTAGGATATATGCTGGAGCGTTTTTGTTTGCTATTGATTTATGGTTTGGTGATTTCGCTCCTTGTGCGGGATTTTCTGTTTACTGTCGACGTCTCATCAGCGTTTTGTTGCGGTAATTAAACTCTGATTGCTTTTCAATTGTTTTTATTGATTGGCAGAGTTGGCACTTCTTTTTTAATCGGGCTTCTGTTGATTCGCAATTAGCCACCGACTACGAGTCCAAGGGACTGACTTAAACTCGTTTGAAATTCCTTTCCCTTTTTGGGTTTGGCGCGAGAGAGAGAGTAGAGTAGAGTAAAGTGGAATTTATGAAGACAAACAAAGGCGGAAAACTTGGCAGGACTCGACCCGGCCAATTGCCAAAGGACTCAAATCGAGCGGCAGCTGCGCGTAATGGACAATTTGAATTATCCGTCCGTCGTCGCCGGTGGCAGCGGTGGAGGAGTGTGAGTAATAGTTTTGGCAGCCAGCGCCTCTTTGGCCAGGCCAGCAATTTATGGAGATCCACGAGCCAAGGGCCACTACATTTTGGCCAAGAGTCGTAGCCGTAGCCGTAGCCGGAGCCAGGCCATAGCCAAAGCCAGAGCCGCTCCACATTCATCTCCTTCGTCCTGGACGCTGCTGACAAGTGCAAAGGCAAAGTTATGGCCCACCAACTCAGACAACTCGCAACTGTTGGACTTATCGATCGGATGGGCGGGCCTTTTAAACTAATTAAGCCCCGGTAAGAGGAACAACACATGCTACTAATTTGCGAAATTAACGTGTTTGTTTTGGCCGCTCTCGAAATAAATTACCCAAAGAAAAAAATGAACAAAATTACAACTGGCCAAAGGTGAGGGCAATGGCCATAAATTCGCATCGAAAGCGAATTCCGTGCTGCAACTTGTTTACTCCCGCAAAAAAAGGTTTGCCTCCGGTTCGGGTCGGACTCCTACATTTTCGATCCCGATCCCATTCCCCGGGGGCCAGAAATTACAGCCAACTGGGAAATTTATGTGCAGCTCCATGGAAATTAAACGCTCTCTGGTCCGCCGGCGCAGAGCACAGCTGCTCGGACTTCCGGCTTCCTGAGGCGCTGCTATCCTATTTTGACAAGGATCTATGAAAATAGTGTGAAAAATTATTGTTCCTCACCCCCGCTTGGCATTCTAAACTGCTAAATTAAGATAAATGAACACACTTAGCCCGGAGAATTTATTTGTTTTGATAAGCGGCCAACGAGTCTGGTTAGAATTGCAAAAGAGATGCGACCTAAAAATAAATCGTTTGGAATAAAACATAAGTTACATATCTTTAATTAGAAAGAGAAAAGGAGAGGTCTTAAAATGCGATGAAAGCGAAATCATTCCATTAAAATAAATGGCCAATAAAATATAAATACTCTCTAGTATTATGATTTTGCTATACTTTTAGTCAACTTTTTTAATAAGCCCGGAAAGATCAACAGCGGAACAGGACTCGTCCAAATGACTTTGGCTAATAAATAAAGTTCTACGATGGCCAGGTAAACACTCGGCATGACCCACAAAAAGTTTGTGTCCAAATAAACAGAGAGCAGAAAGTGCCAGAGAAACCGAACCAGAAATAAAAGAGCTCCCAAAACTTGGGCAAAGTAATAGTTGGGGCCGGAAATTGTTTGCTGATGTTGCTTAGATTTTTCCCCTGCAATTAGTTAACCTATAAACGAAAAGTGTTGCATATGAAATATATGACCACAGAGAATGCCAACAAATTGTGGGAGGCCGGTAAACGAATATTTATGGGTGAAAAATAGGAGAAACAAGGATTCGACTAACAGGACACGCTACATATATGGCAAAGGAAGCTGCAAGTTGTGTCTTGGAATTATTTTAGATAATAACAAATAAGTCCTCATTTAAAAAATACTATAATAAAGACTACTGTTTGTTTGTCAAGGCTCTAATAAATTATTATTATTTATAACATTGAGTATAAAATTGTTGAAAATTAAAAGATTTCCCTGTCTTAAAGATTGGTATAGTTTAACTAATAAATGATTACTTACCGAATAGTAAATGCCATACAAAGCGTATGAAGCAATGACTTGGAAAGCCACTTAACGAAGACACCTTTCGTGGTTCGTGGACCCGTGTAAGTTTTTTGTTTTTCTGCCTTTGGAAACACATCTCTGGTTCCTGTTTGAAGGTGGCACCCTGGCCAACATGTTGTCTGTAATGCCTTGGCTTAATTTATCTTGTTGTCAGGCTGCTTGGCAGCAACAAATGCAGCCGCAATAGTTGAATTACTCGCACACACGCTCAGAGCCGAAACTTGGCCAGGTGAACTAAACTCCTGGTGAAAGTGAAACTGGGTCGCAAGAAAGTTTTTGGCGCCGCCCACCTCCTTTTCTTTTTTTTCACACAGGAGTGGGAGTGGTTGGTAGAGGGACAACAAGATAAAACGGACACACACCCAATGTGTTTTTCGTTTTTACGGAGAGTGAGTTTTTCGGGGGGAAAGCGAGTGTGTGTGAGTGTGAAATAAAATGAAGAAAATTGTTGCCTACTTGGGGTGCTGGGGGAGAACACCCCCACATACCGGAAGGAAGTGAGGTTTCTGGGGGCCCCTAAAGATGGCCAAGCAATTTGTTAGCAGGTCGAGCAGAGAGAAAGCGTCTCACTGCAAATGTAATTTACTGCCAGACGATATACGCCCGTCCATAGAAATATTTTGGCTGGAATTTATTTGCGGCCATTTTAACAGAAGCAAAACCAAATGAATTTAAAGATCTCTGCAACCTATTACAAAATATACCCTTAAAAATGTATATTGTCGTTGGCCCTTTTTTACTCATTGACACGACCCAATGCCAGTCCTAAATAGTATTTATTTGGCTTCTTTGTCTAGACTGTCTCCATGGTGACATTATAAGCTGTCAAGCTTGTGTACATTTTTGGTAAAGATCCTTTGGGCTTTCTAGAGTGCCTGCATTTTTTGGAGAGGTTAGCTTTTAGGCCTTAGTATTTTATGGTTATAAAACTACCAAATATTTGTGTGCAGTATGTGTTTTTAAACAGGTTTTTGATTTAAAAACAATGAAACTAATCACGGCAAAGCTGAGGGAAGAACCTTCGCGTTCTCCTCTAAGCACTTTCGGGCAAATTCAATCCCTTCCTTGGCATTACCTTGCAGGATTGGTATTAACTGGGCCAGTGCCTCCTGTTCAGCGTTGCTCATCTCGGGAAGTGGCAGGAAGCGCTTGATCCCATCCTTTCCCAGTTCAAGAGGGCTGGCAAAGAAAGGGGCATCCGTCAGTTCCGAGGCCACAAAGGAGCATTCAATAACGCCCTCGTCTCCCTGCATTCCACGCCGCAACGCGTACACGAAGTGGGATCCTGCGACGGCCATCGACAGGGTTGCTGATCCCTTGCCCGCCTTGGCTTTGACCACCTCTGTGCCTGCCTCCTGAATGCGATGAGTCATTTCCTGGATCTCAGCGGGACCGCCCTTGAACTCTGGGTGGCACTGCGAGATGAGCGGCAGAATGGTGATCCCAGCATGTCCGCCAATTACTGGAATATCCACTCCTTCCGGTGAGACGTTCATGTAATCGCCGATGAACTTCTGCGAGCGGATCACATCCAAGGTGGTAATCCCAAAGAGACGACGTGGATCAAAATTCCCATTAGCTTTCAAAACCTCCGCGGCGGCTGGCACAATCATATTCACGGGATTTGTAATAAAGGCAAGCAGGGCTCCAGGGCAGGCGGCGCTAACGGCAGTGGCCACCTTTACGGCCACTTGGCCATTGGCGGCCATCAGCTGTTCTCGTTGCATTCCCGGCAAGCGCGGCATTCCGGCGGCGACAACCACAATGTCGGCTCCACTCACCGCCTGTTCCAGCTGCTTCTCACCCGAAAAGCTGGTCACCATTCCCGGCTTGTTGATGTGCGACAGATCCGTGGCTATTCCCTTCATATCGGCGAGATCGTGCAAAGCTAGTTCTTTAAGGCCCGGGAGAGCGCGCAAGCATACCGACAAAGGCTGGCCGATTCCTCCTCCAGCTCCCACAATGGTCACCTTGAGGGTACGGCGGGAAAAGCGCCATGGAGCGGCTAGGGAGATTTTTGATAGGAGCTTAAGGTTGCCGAGTAACATCTTGTCCGAAATGAAATCAATTATATGTATGATAGATAGATAGCTCAAGCGTTTGACATTACAGAGAAAAGCCTACTAAATAATCGGACAGACTTAATCGGGCTGCCAACCTGAGTCACGCACAAGTTTTAAGTATTAGTGGTTTAATTTTATCGATTACTTGTATATTATGTCGAGACGAGTTTTGATACATTTAATTATCAAGAAAGCGTTCTCGATTGAGGCTTGATTTTATGTATCTTTTCTATTAGTTTACAGTAGTTAAAAACTACCTTTAAAATCTTCTTAAAAAATACCTCTGTTCCTATTTGAATTTCAAATGTATTTTTTGAGCAATCTCATACTCATTGCATTTCCCATTGAAATCATCCTGAGCTCTTGACACAAAGCATTCTAAAACATAAGAATTTTGCGAAATAGCAAAATTTTACGTCCGACAATGTTTGGCCTTTTCAGATGTGCTCAACCGCTTTTAGGAAAATTTCAAAACTGCAGAAATAACAGTCGTGGCCTCAAGGTCACCGTCGTTGGTGCAGTCGGAGGCATTGGGCAGCCGCTTTCCCTCCTGCTGAAGCTCAATCCGCACATCGAATCGCTGGCACTGCACGACCTACAAAGTACTGATGGAGTGGTGATGGATCTGTCGCACATCGACACCCCGGCGACGGCCTGCCCCTTCGAGGGTGGAGACGGAAAGAGCCTGAGGAAGGCAATGCTAATGGCGGACATTGTGGTGATTCCGGCCGGTCTGCCCCGCAAGCCAGGAATGAACCGGACCGATTTGATAAACGTGAATGCATCCGTGGCAGCGGAAGTTGCCCTAGCCGCCAGCGAAGTGTGTCCCGGGGCCTTTCTGGCTTTCATCACAAATCCAATCAACATTATTGTGCCCCTGGCGGCCACAATCCTCAAGGCCAAGTGCAACTACGATCCGAACCGCCTCTTTGGCGTCACCACCCTTGATGTGGTGCGTGCCAAGACCTTTGTGGGGGACTTCCTCAATGTAAACCCGTCGAAAGTGGATCTGCCAGTGATCGGAGGCCACACTGGTAAAACCATTCTCCCAATCCTGTCACAATGCAAGCCTGCCTACACGGGCACCGATGAAGAACGCACGGAGTTAATTAAACATATTCAGGAAGCGGGCACCGATGTCGTCAATGCCAAAAAGGGCGATGGTTCGGCTACACTCTCAATGGCCTACGCCGCCAGCCGGTTCGTCAATTCCCTAGTCAAGGCCATCAAGGGTAGTGATGAACCCATCGTGGAGTGCGCCTATGTGGAATCAGATGTCACCGAAGCCGAGTTCTTTTCCACACCGCTCGTCCTTGGACCGCAGGGCATTAAGGAGAACCTCGGACTACCCGATATGGATGATAACGAGACGCAGGCCTTGGAGGAAATGCTGCCAGAGCTGAAAAAGAACATAGAGAATGGCATTAAATTGGGAAAGGACTTTACCGGTCAGGATTAATAAATAAATATAAATAGTTATTTCGAGTCTGAATTATCTCAAATCAAAACCCGATGCAGTTTAATTAGTCAAAAATCAACAAGACATTCGGATTCAGCACACCGATATTCTTTATATATTCGATTTACTTTGTAAACACAATTTAATAAAATAATATAATAATTTCCCTTATTGTTTATTTTATGGAGAAATGTTGAAGTATTTAAATTTAACTTTAAAGCAACACTTTGAGTACTATATTGTAGTTTGATGTAGATTTAATACTCTCCTTTCTGTAACCAAATGGCTGTTGTAAGGAACCGTTTAGTGGCATCTTCTTATTTGGCCAAATGTCGAGCGAGTCCTGGGATAAGAAGCCACAGACACAGCTGGAAGTTCGTGGAGCGGCTTTGGCAGACGCTCCTCCATCAGGCAGGGCGAACCCAGCGGAGCCGCAAATCTTTGCGGTCTCGTCTTAATGGCTAAGAAATTGTGATTTATGCCTCGAGATTTGTACATTTACACTGCCACTGCCTGACTTATGCGTATGTGCGCAGCATACACACTTATATATTTAAGTTGATGAACATGATTTACTTTCTTGTTAGACTTGGGGAACTTGGCAAGGGGTAAAACTTGCACAAAGTTTGGATTTTAATATTTGTATATATGTGCTGTGTGGATTCCTGGATCTAAAGCATTAATTACTTAATTAGTTGCAAAATTTATTTTCCGCCCAGTCAAAGGTGGCCAAATTAGCTTTCATGTTCAACTGAATTACATTAATTGAATTTGGGTCTCGACATCCTTTAGGTGTCGCTTTCTGTGTAGAAGGGTGAGCGCAGTGCTGATGGCAGAAAAGTGTCTCGAGTAGACAGTTTTATTGCTCTCGACATGAAAACTTTAAGTTTTTTGGCTTGCGAAGCCCTAAAAGGCTTGTTATGTAATTAGATTCGTCGTCGCCTGTGTTGTGACATGGTCGATGTTATTATGTTGTCACCAACTCGGCGAAGGTCAGTGATTTACAGCACAAGATATTTGGCTTATTAATTAACATAAGTTGGTTGTGTTGGATTTAAAAATCTGAACTTGTATGTATAAATATTAAATATATAATGAGATAATAAAAAAAAAAAAACTTTTTATATATTTTTTTCACACTGAAACATCTTTCTTTTAACCACAAAATCTTCACCTAGAGTTGAAGTTTCCTTTGTGACCAAACTCATAGCCTTTAGCAATGGCTCATTTTGCTTTGGCCACTTTATTGTTACCAGTTTGTTGCCTAGGTGGGCAATAATTTACAGAAATTATACATGACCACTTAAGTTGTCATTAACGTTAACGACCGCCGCCGAAGCAAACCAAACCGAACCGAACTGAACGGCGGCCAAAATGTGTGTCGAGGCATTATGAAATGTTTAACAGCTTCGCCTAAGGGCCGCCAGTGGTAAGAGCGTGTGCAATTTTTGTTGTCCGCAGAGCCTCCTCCTGTCGACGGCTCCTGGCTGGAACTGTAGCTGGAGCTGGAGCTGGAGCTGAGAGCCTCATTGTGGCTCTGGCCCGGCCGGGTAATCCAAAATTAATGGCCTGTCAGTCATACTCGTGCTACAATTTTAGCCCATATTGGGGCTACGGCCGGAGCTGCAGCTACAGCTGCGATTCCGTCTTACTACATATATATAGTATATATATGTAGTGCCGGTGGTGTGCTACATCCTTTCTTTGTGTAAATTTCCGCTTTCCGTTTTTCGGTAAAGTAGACCAAGACCGAGCTTAATCGAAAACGTATGAATGCAGCCGAGATCCTAAGAGGCCTCGAATCTGAAGATGGGACTTGGTTTCGGTGTGGATAAAGTGCACTCACGGCGAGAAAAAAAAGAAACTACTAAATGGAAAGGAACTGGAAATGGTTGATTATTACTCAACCGATGATTATACATACTTATGAATGAGGTGTCCTAATTAAATTTGTATTTATAATATATAAATTAAACTATTAGCTACGGACTTTCAAGCTTAGCTCTATGTCAAAAAAATATGTTCATCGTTTTGCTTATCTTAACTTTTAAAGGTTAAAGTAACTCCTAAAAACACATAAATATGTTTAATTATAATCTAAATTGACCACTGAATTCTTATAATAATGTGATTTTCATGAGTTAAGGATTTTCCTTTTGGCCCATCCCTAGACCAAAGCCACAGCACTTAAGCGCCCTTCGTGTTGCGCTTTTCTGCTTTCCTTTGGGCCGAAGGACGAGAAGGAACAGGAGCAGGAACAGACTGTGGTTAGAGCAGCCAAGTTATTACAAGCGCAAAAATATTTTCACTTAAGTAGCTGCCACCATTTCGCTCAATTTATTTCCAACATCACGAGCTCCTTCCCTTTCTTTTTTTAATTTTACACACAATTTTCGTGTAATGTTTGGCTTTCAGCTCCTTTGCTCTTTTCAGGCAGGAACTGAATTCTGTAAAAAGAGCATCGTAATATTTAATTGAATATTTTTTCCCCTGTTAAATGTTGTATTTGGGCATTTCTCCTCGGGCTGTCAGTCCTCAAAATAAATCATGTATTCATCGTGAGGCTTCCCCCGAAAAACCCCGATGCACATGAAATACCCAGGATTTCCAGATGCAAAAATCTGTGCAAATTTGTTGGACACTTGACTGCTACTCATACACACATTTGTTTGCCGTGGGTGGCTGCACCTTTTTTCATGCCATTTCCGGGTCAACTGAGCGGAGGCGTCCTGGCCTTCTTCCTTCTGCCAGAGTGGAGTGCTCCCAACCCCGGGTATGAGACTCTGGGGAATGAATGAATGAATTTTATAAACATTTTTTGACATCGTTTTGCAAAATACATTTCTGTGCACTTGGGCATTTAACGATGTGTAAAAACGTTTGCAATTTCGGTTAATTGAATTGTTGCTTTATGCAATTTTATAGTGTCTACCAACCAATGTCTCCATGGGGAATATATTTCAAAGGAAAGGCTTTAGTGAGACCTCACTGATACATTGAATGTTATTTACAATTGCAATTAAATATTTAATAGAAACTAGTAATTATAATTATTAATTCAAGCATGATGCTGGAGTATAGACAAGCCATCTAATAAAATTTAATCTAGAGGCAAATTGAAAAATTGTTTTATGTTTGTTACATAATCATTTAATTTAAAAGCTTCTCCTCTTTCCTTTAATATTAAATAGTCCATTTTTCTGCACTAGTTGCTATCGCAACCAAGCTTTCAATGCCTGGCAGATGTACATAATCATCAAGCAAACTCAATACCATCTCAGTACCGCCTGGAGAAAGTGTTTAAGAGACGACCCATCGCCCGACATCTACGAGCTCTGATTATCTGTAAATCAAATGTAATGAGATACAGTTTGAGCTAGGATTACACTTACACGACTTACACGCCAACTCCCAAGGGGGGAGATGAAAGGACGAGGACGAGGAAGGAGTGGTTATTTTTACGGCCTCAGCGGAATACGAAGTGCGAGCTTTGTTAGAAATCGGCTGGCAGGACATCCCTGGGATTTAGGGTCGACGGCGAAGCGAGTGACCCATAAAATATCACGTATACGCAGGGCAGGCCGGGCCGCTTGGCCGCATGGCCGCAGGAGGGCGCATGATGAACTAACACGAGCATATGTTTGTGTGCGGGATGCGTTTTTATGATTTGTGGCATAGGGCCCGAGCAACCGGCAGCTGATTGTAAATCTATGCGGGCTTCCCGAAAAACCGAAACCGAACCTCCACTGCGGTTACTCAGGCCTGGGGAGAATGGAGGAGAATCGTTTAAAACTGATGGGGCGGGGTAAAACTTGGTTCTAGGGGCAGGGATTATATTCGCCGGGGTCGAGTCCTCTGCGGTTTCGCAAGCTGTCGCCTTCATCTTTAAACTTTAATGGCCAGCCAAAAGTTTTCGGCCGCGTCTAAGCTTTAGTCAACAAAGACTCGGGCACGTCTTGGCCAAGACCCAGATGCTTCCGTTCCTATTCCCAATCCCCACCATATTCCCCGCTCCGCCGCTGTTAATTCCCAGTACGTGTCCTGTTAGCGGAACGTTTTCCAAATATTTATTTATTATTTACTCTCGTCCACCTTGTTGGCCTTCAAGAAGCGAAAGGCAGAGCACCGAGGGCAGTAGGGAAGAATATAAACTAAAAATGGTGCGGGCCAAATTTGATTTAGCTGCTCCCTGACATCGGGTCTTAGTGGCTCTATTTATCTACGTGACGTTTTCGAGGCTCTTTAGCTGGATAACAACTGAAAGCTGTCAAACACGGCGTATACTTAATATTAATTACAGTAAACAACAGCACAAAAAATGTTGTCTCCGTTAATCTCCCATCATGCTCTTTCAATTTTTTTCTTCTGTTTTTTTTTTGAGTAAGAAAAGATCTTGCTTTCGATAAACACTGTTCGAGTAGAGAAACCAAATGCACTGCAACAGAATTGCTTAAGCACATTTGTAGAAAATTTCCTCGAGGAAACCATAAGCCAAGTTAAGTAAATGTCTAATTAAGTCATTAACCAAATTCCTTCAGCCGCTTTTTGCTGAATAATGTACAAATCGCATTCCAAACTAAGCTAATTACCTATAATATGGGCAAGGAACCTCTCGTGTGGGACTGATGGTGATGAAGGTGATTGATGTTTCACAAGAGCTTGGGTTTTTGTGGTAAGTATGAACCTTCTTAAAGTAATATTGTTTCCTTAAAGTATTGGTTATTAAATTGTACCCACAGAAGAAAATAGTTTCATTTTTGAAGTTATACATTATCTTTAGTCAAAAGAAATGATTTCAACAAGAAAGGAAATTTGTTATTCTACCGGATATAGCTAAGTCGACTCAGCTTTTGATGCTGATCAAGAATATTTATAGATTTATAGGGTCGGAATGAACTCCTTCACTTCGTTGTAAGCTAATGACTGAACATATAATACCCTGAAAGTGTATAAAAAGTAAATTAACAAATTTTCCTTAAACAAATTTATGTGAAGCAAATATTTTCCCATATATAATTCT